ACTTCATTGACCGTCATGTCAAACAATAGAATGTGAACTGGTGCTAATCAATGTCCTTTTAACTAAAATGCAAATGTTTAAAAAATCCTTCAAAATCCATATATCTTCGATATAGTGTAAACATTTCATTTCAATCCGTGGCGACGTTATCACACATGCTTTTTATTTGTGGTCAATTTCTCTCGCTATAAAGGACCAGGCGTAAGACATATAAAAATGAGTGCCTGTCGATTTGTCTAAAAATTCAGTATGATATATTTCTTGCCATCCCGAACAAAAGTGTCCATGGAATTAGAACAATATTATGATTAGTTTCTGATAAATAGGCGGATGAATTTTGTCCGATTAGCAAAAATTGTGAATGTGCCGATTGTAAATCTCAGACCGAAAACTCGGACAATCAGTATACTAAAAGAAATACAGGGTGTCGAGTTAGGAAATTTGAATTACCCGGCAACCGTATACGCGAGGAAGTGGGAAGAGGTATTGATCGACACGTTCGGCGTGCGGGTTAAATGGTTACAATGAAACGTTGGACCGGAGCGCAACGTGCTTTTGCTATCGAAGCCTACTTTAAGAGTGGTGGTTCAAACGCATCTACCCTTCGGAAATTTTGTGCACGATACAACATTCGCCGACCAAGAGATGCCCCAAGTAAGGACCCATTGAAAAAGTAGATTAAGTGGTTCCGTGAAACAGGCTCTACTCTTAGTCAACCCATTCCTGGTCCACACCTATTGTAGGAAGAGAACGTCGATTCAACAGAAACACATGGTTTCAACAAGATGAGGCCACTGCCCATACTTCCAGAGAATCGACGGACACGGTGAAAGCACTTTTTCCTCAAAAAGTTATATCGAAGTTTGGAGACATTCACTGGCCTCCTAGGTCACCCGACCGCACGCCATACAATATAGTATCGATTAGGGGTATTTTTCCAAATGATTTTTGGAAGTAAGGAGGATTTACCTCATAACCTTGCTATGATTAACGGCATTTCTGTAAATTTGGTGGTCGAACCAGATCAAACCGAGACAACTCAAAATAGTCAATAAAATGCAACACCACCCTGAAGCCGGGTTCACATTAGTGCACTTTTTCTTTCCCTTCCACCTTCAAAATCAACATTACCTTAATTTGACCTTGTAAAGGTCATAGTCAAAGAAAACAACTACGACTTTTCTGCGTTCTTAAAAAGCTACCTGTCTTATTGAGTTTTCTGGATTCTCGAGCAACTCGTGCGAGATCTATCTACGCTTTTCTATACAGGGATCTCGGCGCCTGTTATACCTTCAGCAAACGTTAAATGGGGAAAGTTTTAGAGGAAACTCAGTGGATTCGATAGCCGGCTTCAAATTTACATTCGGTCAATTGGTTTTTTGTCAGTAAATTCGAAACGGTTAATTTGACAGCTGTCTAAACGTGTCATTATTCGGACATTTTTTTCTGTCTAATAAGATAGCGTGTATGACATGTCTCAATCGTCTTTTGTTTTCTCGTAACCTGCTTCAACTTTCGTTTTTCTTACGGCCGTCATATTAGATTTTTGAAAATAGCGTAAAATTTTCAGCCTAGTGATGTCTAACAAATGCATAAAAGATTGGAGTATAATAGAAATATCATCACACGTAATGTTATATATTCATTTTTTTCTAAGGAGGTCATGATTTATGTCAGAAAATACAGGGTGCTTCAGAGAAGACGGACGTTTTTGGGATAGGTAGTACTCTCCGTCTCCGTTTACGAGAGAGGTGGGGAGGGTGCCGTTTGACTCGTGAGATCCTAGCATTATTTTACCAGTTGCCGTTATGGAGCCTTGGGCGGTGGAGCACCGCGTTTTCGCCTATGATTGTTTCGTCCGAAATAATGAGTCAGTCATCGTCGTACAGAGTGAGTTTCGTCGCCACTTCAACATTCATCGGAATAGAGCTGTTCCCTCTCGAAACACCATCCTTCGTTGGGTTGAATCACTTCACAGGCATGGTGAACTGATCAACGGAAGACCAAGAGGAGCGCCGCGAACAGTTCAAACTCCTGAAAATGTTGTACGCGTTTGACAGGTCTTTCTTCGCAGACCGACTCGATCTGCTCGGAAACATGCTGCTGCACTTCGCCTTAGTGATCGTTCGGTAAGGCGAATTTTGCATATGGACCTCCGCTTTCAACCCTACAAATTGGCCATTGTGCAACAGTTACAGCCCGGAGATTTGCACAACGAATGAACTTCGCACGTGAGATGGAAGCAATGATCGATCAAAATGAGAATCTCATTTTGTTTGTTTATGAGTGACGAAGCCCACTTTCACCTAAACAGCATGGTTAACCAGCAGAATTGTCGTTATTGGGCTAATGAAAATCCGCAACAGTTAGAAGAAAGACCGCTGCACAGCCCAAAAGTAACGGTTTTGTGCGCTGTATCACAAACTTGCATCATTGGCCCTTACTTCGAAGACCAACTTCTTTCTCACTGAATTACGACGGCGACGTGTTCCAATCCGACGTGTGTGGCTCTAGCAGGATGAGGCGACCGCCCACACAGCCCGAGCATCCATGGACGTTATTCGCCTCTCTTCCCTGGTCGCCTTATTTCCAGGTTTGGCGATGTTCATTGGCCTCCTCGGTCCTCAGATTTATCCATATGCGATTTTTTCTTATGGGGACACCTCAAGGCTAGAGTATACGCGAACAAGCCCCGAACTCTGGACGAATTGAAGGGGGAAATTCGCGTGGAGGTCGCCCAAGTTGAGAGAGCGATGTTGGAGAGAGTCTACGCGAACTTCCACGAACGCCTCCAGCACTGCATCAACGATTTCGACCACCACATGCCTGATGTGACTTTCTACACTTGACTGTCTCAAATGATATTTCCTTGTGAACCTGATTCCATCAATAAATTTGTTTTCGAGTAAAAATTAACTATTTTATGATTTTTTTTAAAACCGTTCATCCTCTCTGCCGCACCCTGTAAAATTCATAAGGAACGCATTTTTTTTTTTTCATCTAAGGAGGATCTGACTTCGACGTTAAATAATACAAAGTATTAAAATTGTGCTTTAATAAGTAGTAGATATGTTCATAAATCTGACAAAAAAAATGTCAAAACCTCTTGAAACATGGCCGGTATACCCTACGCGAATGAAGAAAAGCTTGACATGTTAGCGCTGTACTTGCAGTCATACAGAAATGCCGACATTACCTCAGCAAGGTACTTGGAGATGTACTTCAAATGACGTCAGCCTCATGAAAAACAATTTATAAAAATAGTTAATTTAATAAACCATGGGGCCTTCGAACAACCAAGAAACGGATACAATATTGAAAACGACAATCGCGACAGAAACATTTTACAAACTGTCAACTAAATCCTTGATGCAGCAGAGAATTTTGAAGTCACTTAGAAAAATAACAGAACTACACTGGCTAAGGTTGTACGAAAAACCGTCACCAATTGTCAAAAATATATGGATGCAAATAGGCGTTATTTTGCAAATCTGTAAATAAATACCCACTTACATAATTAGATTTTACATTACATTACAATTTTCTAAAATGTTTTCTGTTGTAAGTGGAAAATAAATTTACGACGATTTTTTAACACACTCATAGTTGGGAATTTGTCCCAAAACATTTGACTTGTTGAGAAGTTAACGTTAATATTCTATTGTAAATTCAAGACGTTTATGTGTTTTTTATGCCTTACTCATTAATGTTATTTTTTGACAAACAAATCATGGTCTTTAGAAAAAAACTCATACATAACGTTACTCAATTTTTTTATGTACTTGTGAGACATCACTAGACTGGAAATTTTACGCTCTTTTCTAAAATCAAAAAATCCAATATTGCGGCCACAAGAAAAAACGTTGTGGCGGGTTGCTGAAAAACAAAACACGATTGAGACATGTCATATATGCTATCTTATTTTTCGGAAAAAAATGTCCGAATAATGTTATATTTTGATAGCTGTCAAATTAACCGTTTTGGATTTACTGGCACAAACAAATTACGCCATTTTCGGTTTTACCCTGATAATTTCAAAACCAATTGACCGATCATAAACCTGAAGCGGGCTATCAAAAGCACTGAGTTTCCTCTATTGTAACCTTTGCTGTAGGTATAACAGGAGCCGAGAACCCTGTATAGAGAAGCGAGTCTGGGACACACTGTATAGTGACTATGAGGTGTAAAACGAAAAATATCCACAAAAAAGATTGCTTTTGAACCTAAGAACCAAATTTTTGAACAACATTGAAGAAAACATCCTTTGTGGCGCATTTTCTACTAAATTAATAAAGCAGGACATATTTACGACATCGAGGTCACTGTTATACTGTCATTACCAATTCTTACCTAGAAATATGGGGTTGTCCAAAACGGACGCAGGAAAGTAAACGCATATTAAAACAAGAAAGATTGATATTCATATCAAGTTGGGTACTTTATTTTGAAGGTTCATTTATACCATTTATATATGAAAAATAATATCGCTCAAATGTTCACTACGACTGGATTTACAGACGTCCTCGCGATGGAGGGTGGCTGGTTTGTTGACGTAGACTTTGCTTTTCAAATGTCCCCATAAAAAGAAGTCCAAGGGAGTCAAATCGCACGATCTTGGTGGCCATGGCACATTTCCTCTGCGCGAAATCACGCGATCACCGAAGAAGGACTGCAATCGATGGATATTGACGTTGGTTGTGTGGCATGTTGCACCGTCTTGTTGGAAATAAACATCGTCCATATCCATTCCTTCAAGTTGCGGCAAAAAATAGTCCTCTATCATCACGTGATATCGCTCAGAATTGACGGTAACGGCGTCCCCGGCCGCATTTTCGAAAAAGTAAGGTCCGATGATGCCTTTTGACCACAGTACACACCACACAGTCACTTTTTGAGGATGCATCGGCTGCTCTTGATACTCACGGGGATTTTCGTTCGCCCAGATGCGGCAGTTTTGCTTGTTTACCGTCCCATTCAAAGTGAAATGCGCTTCGTCGCCGAACATGATTTTTGAATTTGGCGGAGGACAATAGCAGACCTCCACTAGCTAGTCCTCCAGCCAGCAAAAGTAGCTGTGCTCCGAAAAGTCCAAGCAAGAAGTACAGTCCCAAGCGAGCTATTGGCTACGGATTACAGAAGTTCCGCACACTCATTGGCAGCTGGGAGACCGAGCCCCACCAATAGTAGACGCACCGCATAGGATCATCACGCGTCCACCTGCTAAACAAAGAACTTCCTACGGGCGACACATCATCTCCCATAGAACAGAGCCGCTCGAACCGGCGCATTCGGCTAATTCAACGGTTACAATCCACTCCTCGCAAGAGGCGGGGCCTTCTGGGATTGCTAATCCTAGGAAGGATCAAACGACGGCTACAAGCATCGACATAGACGAAGCCAGCGATAGTGTTAGTGCTAGTTATATAATTTTGTAAATCCTAGTAGTACCCAGGCAACTAGACACCGACCGACTATCACAATCACGGCCCCCTTTGGGGGCTTGTTGCGAGAGAGCCTACAGGAAGCGAGACTCAACCAACTTCCTGAGGAGATTAAATCCCTGATTCTGGCTCTTCAGGGTCGCAACGCCTCCGTTCCCCCCACCCCCCGTAGCACGCTTGACAAAAGAGTCCGCGCCTGGCTCTCGCTACCTATTGGGTAGGCTCCGGGAGCCCCCCTCTTAGAGAATATATGTCTGTACTTGACATATCCACGTGATAAGCCAACGGACGTATGTATAGCTGGCAAAACCAGCGCCAGCATAACAACTCGCAACCGAGGGGCTCCCGCACGAAGGGAAGAACTACTAAATCTATACAAGCAGTTCTATCGTATGGCCTTTCGGAGGTAGACGTCGACTCCGACTTTAACGCGTTACGAATCCCAGATCCAAAATGAGAGGACGGCATACTTACAAAGGGCCCGCGAAACTCACAAACAAGACATTAGACCATTTCGAACGTTCCATACATGGTCGCATCTTAAATCCCTCCGTTATTGTCACATTATGTTATCACCTCCACTTATCACATATTCCATCGACAGCAACAGACACCACGACTACGTGCTGGCTTTATTATTCGCAATTTGTAAACCCATCTCAAAATGGGGTACAAATTTACACCCTTTGGGTACATGTGTTTACTTCCTGAATAAATCTTGTAAATAGCCAAATGCCTCGTCATCTAATTGTTTAGTGACGCGCATGAATGGACTAACAAGATTTCCACCGTCCGTACCCACATGTTTATGGTTGATTTTTGTGAGAATAAGTTAGGTATTTCTTTAAATTATGTTTGATTTTGATTTTGTGAGAATAGGTTAGGTTTTTCTTTAAATTATGTTTAAGTTTGATTTTGTGGGAACAAGTTAGGTTTTTCTTTAAATTGTGTTTCAGTTTGATTTTGTGTAATTAAGTTTTTCTTTTATTATGTTTAAGTTTTAATCTTCAAAACTACTGAACTGAAGTACATTAATTTTATATTATTATAAAGGGAATTGAAAGACCTTTAAAATAAGGCATCACTCGAGCCCCCTTTCCATTTAAGATTTTGGGGGTGGTGTCACCCCCGCTTGGGGGGCTGCACGTGCTAACGTGATTTTTTGCCAAGCTTGTGTCCCCCTCGAAAACAAAATCTATAGGTCTGAGCGTTTTTCAAAAAAAAAAATGAGCTGCCAGTAAACGCGTCTGTTTCGTTTTCGATGCGCCACCCTGTATAATACACTTAATTGTTGCACTGCTGTTAATCTGATACCCAACACGATTCGGTAGTATATCTTACCCCGAGGCTCCGGCTCCATCTGGTAGGTGGATGGACAGCCATTCCGCCGCCTCAAACAACAAGGCGGAAGCAAGGTCGAACGTCACAACACGTGGCGACACGAGGAGAAACAATACTGGGAATACCTCTCAGCGTATGCAAACGAGGATGGCTGAAAATTTTACCGCAACGGCTTCCAAGAACAATTCTGGAGGTTCGCCATCCCCAACATCACCTCATGGCAGAGGAGGCCGACCGGCCAACAATTGTCCCTGTGGTCGGTCATTCACAACACTCAAAGGCCTCCAAAACCACTCAAGACGATGTCCGCAGGCCCCCCCGAAAATTCCGCAGGGGGCCATCAACACCAACATCACAGACTGGCAACAGTGCAGCTTCTGTGACAGGGTTTTTCAAACCTACCCTGGCATGAGGCTGCACACCAAAAAGGCCCACCCGGTGGAATATAACCGCCAATTGGCAGAAAGCGCACCGCACTCGGAGGCGGAAATCATGATAATGTTAGCGAATATAGAGGCTAACCTGACCCCCGAGCACAGGTACTTCTTAAAAGACATGGTGGCGGCAACGGGGCTGACAAAACATCAGATCCGTCATCGAAGGGATAAGCCGTTATATAAGGAGTACCTAGCACTGGCGAAAGAAGAAGCTTGCGCACGACTAGGAGCGCAGACTGCTGCAACAACGGAGGACATGAGTAGTCTTTCACAAGCTAGTTCTCCAGTCAGCAAAAGCAGCCATGCTCCGAAAAGTCAGAAGTTCAGCCCAAAGCGAGCTATCGGCTATGGACTACGGAAGTTCCGAAATCTCATTGGTAGCAGGGGTACCGAGGAAGGAGTAGACGCGCCACAGAGGCAAAACTCAACAAATGCCATCTGTGGACCACAGTACGTCTCCACACCTCCATCTGCTGAACGAAGAACTTCCGTTGGGCGACTCGCCACGAACGAAACAACAGAGTCGCCCGCAGCGGCGCGTTTAGCCAGTTCAGCGATTGTCATCCACGCATCTAAAGAGGCTGGGCCTTCAGGAACCGCCCAACCAGCTAGAAGGAACGCCCAAGAAGATTCGGACATAGACGAAGGCTGTGCTAGTGTGAGTGACAGTGCCGTGCAATTCAATGTTGTAAACTCTAATATTGTAACTGACGCGGACAGAGACACTAATCAAGTGGCACAATCGCGGGTTACTTTGGGAGGCTCGTTGCGAGAGAGCTTGCTGGAAGCGAAATACGCCGAGCTTCCGGAGGAAGTTAAATCCTTGATAGACCTGGCACTACAAGGTCGCAACGAGCCTCTAACGAAGGCTCTCGACGACTTCATAGCGTCGCGGACCAAGTCTGCCAGAAGACAAAGGAGCACCCGCCGGCCAGCTGCGAATAACGCCCCAAGACAAGGGGGCGAATACAACTACGGCCGTGTCACGCCTATCACCGGTGACAGGTCGGCGGCGTACAAAAAGGTTCAAGACCTCTTCAAGAAGTCGAGATCGTCCCTCGCTGATAAGATCTTGCGAGGGGAAACAGGCGGAGACAGTGACGACAGCCTGGACTTACAAGTTGCTGTCGATCACTTTGGTCCTCTTTTCGAGGCCGATTCGCCTGTTGACGAAGAGCCAGTGACGTTTGCATCGGAGCACGAACAGCAGTTGGTCCCAATTACGAGGGATGACGTGCTCCGAACAAAGGCCGACTGGCCCAATAATGCTCCAGGTCCGGACGGCCTAACAGTCATCTCAGTCAAAGCCATACCTAATGACATTCTCGCGGTGTTATTCAACATAGTTCTCCTCTCCGGAATTGTCCCCACAGCTTGGCAGACGTCCAGGACAATCCTTATTTATAAGGACGGAGACAGGGAGGACCCAGCTAACTGGCGGCCACTAACCATCAGCTCAGCCCTAATGAGGTTGTTTCACAGGGTGCTCGCCACTAGGATAAGTGCCTTTGTCGAACTCAACCTCAGCCAAAGGGGCTTCATTAACGTAGATGGCACTATGGCCAATTGTCTGATCCTTGAGGCCTACGTGCAATCTAGACGGGCGGAGGGGAAGGCACACGCTGTCATCACCGTAGACCTAGCATTTGACAGCGTGTCGCATTGGTCCCTACAAAGGGCCCTACGCCGGTTTAGGATAGCGAGGCCCCTTGCAGAATACATACTGAACAACGTGTCATGTTCATCCACTTCTATCAAACACAACAACGTCACCTCTCGACAAATAAATATAACGAGAGGAGTCAAACAGGGGGGTCCTTTGAGCCCCATCCTGTTCAACCTCGTTGTGGATGAGCTTCTCACTGAATTGCTGAATTGGAGCGTAAAGCGGAAGTGGGGGGTTCGATAGCTCCAGGAATCAGGGTCCCGGCATTAGCATTTGCCGATGACCTGGTATTGCTGGAGGATAACGAATTGAACCTGCCGCTGACGTTTAACACTGTGTCCAAGTTCTGCAAGGCAAGGGGGATGGCAATCAATCCCCACAAATGCACGGCCATGGTAGCGCGCTCTAATAACAAGCGCATATACTACTCTAACAACAACATATCAGTAGATGGCCACCGGTTACGCGACATCGGAATAACAGACTCATTCAAATACCTAGGACATGAGTTTAGTGGTACTGGCGTATTAAAGCCAAATAACTCCAACCTAGCAACATGGCTGCGACGCGTGGATGCCGTACCTTTGAAGCCCGACCAAAAGGCTGGACTTATCCGGGACTTTATATTACCTAAAGTCCTGTATGGCCTTCAGAATGCGAAGGTGAATGGCAAGATTTTACGCGAGGCAGACAGACTGATCAAACATAGATTCAAGTGCATCTTGCATCTAGCGGTCACAACACCTGACCAATTCTTGTACGCGTCATTCAGGGATGGCGGGTTAGGACTGACCCAGTTACGACACGCCATCCCTCGGTTGATGCATGCAAGAATGGAGAACCTGAGGTTGAGAGGCTATGACCTCAAGTTG